ATCTGGTGCGTTTTGCTTGAGACCCCATTTTCAAGAGATTCGTAGGAAGCGAGTACTTGTTCGGGTTCTCTGGGTGCCCCTTGAACAAATGCTCGACAACTTTGGTGGCCGGAGGGGTTTTTAGCCTTCTGGCGCCGGCGTCTGTGGGCGAGCCAAAGGCACACGTAAATTTTAGCCAAATTCAACGACGAAAAAAGAATCGAAAAAATCCACCTTCACTCTTGAAAAAAGGGCACTTGAGGTCTTTTATATTTTCTTATTTCCTTTGATTTCTGAGAAACAAATTATTCACGAATATCTTTGACAGGTACCGTGGAAGAGGGTCCTGAAGACGAAAGCGGCTCGCCCGTCGAGGTCGATAACATCATCGAGGATCCACATGCGGGTGGCGAACCAATCACCGCGCTACAAGCTGCGTGGAACGTCACCAACGCTATTCAGGGAATGTTCATCGTGGGTCTGCCCATAGCTGTAAAGGTATTTATTGAACCAGCAAATTTTGAATCAATTAAAAGGCATGAAATGATCATGAATTCAAGAAAGTGCATGGCTCTTTGGAATGAGCCATGCATTATCCAGAATTCAGAATTGCGGTGGCATCAATTTCGCTTTCCCGGTCCAATGTCTTGTAGGAGCTAGAGTGTACCTTGGATACTGCTGGAACACTACCTACCATTAATCAAGCTAGGGCGAAGGTTCGGTCTTCATTAATTGAGTGATCCTCATGTCCTCACTGAAGTCACAGCGCGTCCTACTCGATCGCACCCATTCGTCACATTGGCCCTATTTTAGCGCTTTAAGTCCCGCGCTGCGGAAGATTTTCGCAATTAGTCATGACTTGAAGGCTAATATTTTCGGAAGGATGACAACTATGACGTCGTCAAAAACGCCAATTACTGATCAGCGTGGAAACTTTTGGCACTCGAAAAACCACAGAAAAAAAAACAAACAGTAAAAGATAGGTATCGATTTTGTGAATACAAGATCAACGCCCACATGGCATACTGAAAGGGTGGATTTGATGTGCAGGAACAATCTATAAACTCTATTTCAGGTGGGTGGATGGTGGTCGGTGTTCGCCATGATGGGAGTTGCGTATATTTGCTACTGGACAGGAGTGCTACTGATTGAATGTCTCTATGAGAAGGACAAAAAAGTTCGATTCAGTTATCGTGAAGTGAGTTTTTATAGACTTTTCTCAATCCACATAACTTTTTTTTTTACCTTTTCCTCATCATCCATTTTGTTCTGACCAAATGGTTATTTATAAGTTTACAGTCCATTTCTGCATTTATTCGCTTACTTTCCGCCCATACTTATTCATTCATCAATAAGATGACCTTGGCGCGTCTTAAATGTGTGTGAACAAATACTGCCAGAGAGAACGGAACACTACTTGACTTCAAAAA